TAGACTCAGAAGCTGACACGCCAGAAAAAGAGAGTGATGACACAGGAGAGAAAAATCTGCCACAAGGAAGATGTTGTCTTCAAGCTCTGCTGTCAAATAACTCCTAAATTTCACCCTGCACCATATGACAGACACACCAAGCTGTCCCATCCCCTCGAAACAAAAACGACTTAAACCACCAGAAAGAGAATTGTTTATGCTCCAGGGCTGCAACTGAGAAACCTTAACCCATGTATTTGTAGCTAAAAATCTCAGACATCCCCTGAACAGATTACAAAGAGGGCAGCTCTAAGGACACACTCACTGAACCATGAGTTCATATGTCCTTGTGAGAAGCAGTCTGATACAAAACGCCCACCAAAAACAACAACTACAACAACAAATGTATAAACTACAACACAGATGAAGCCTAACACCTCAGAGGAAGTCACAGTCTCTGGTCAAAAAAACAGGAGCAGTAAAATGGCCTGTATTTATATAGCGCAGTAATATTCAGCTAAAACCTCTGCAGCCACCAGGTTCACTGAAACCAGCTCTGCAAGTTTCAGCTGATTTTGCAGCTGACTCAAAAACAAAGGTGCAGGAAATCGGAACCTTTGCAGATTCACTTTCAGGACAACAGGCCCTCAGAGACCAGCTGTTTGGTCAGCCTGACCGACCAAGCGGGAGTCAGCCAGTCAGACAACGGGGAAAAACTACAATCTTTAATAAATGTGTTTGAGACGTCCCACCTGTTGCTTTTTGATAGAAGACACTGAGGTACATATAATTTATCCAGCCTAAAACTACAGAGATGTGATTTGAATTTCCACATCAGCCAGCCTCTAATGTGCTCTGCATACCAGCAGAAAGAAGCCTGAAGCAAAGGGAGGAGCACTCACCTGAACCAGAAGATGAGATCATGTTCCCGGATCTTTGGACTTCATCGAATTTGCTGAAGATTACATTCAAGCTGTAACAGAGGGACAGAGAGAAAGACAAGAATGTGAAGATAATTATGCAGATGGCACATAAAACAAAGCAGATGGGCAGCAGAAAGTAACTAAAGACCTGTTTACTGCACTATCCATCACCTCCGAGGTGAGAAGCCCTCCCTCGGCTTTCTGCTGCAGGGACCAAAATAGACCGAAACCACCACACAGATGACTAACAGGCAACGGGGCCAGAGAGAGAGCGAGCGAGAGGGGTGATGGAGGGGTGCAGAGACATATGGCCCAGTGTGAAGGAGGAACGAAGAGGACACAAAGGGAACAAAGAAGATGCCGCATCTGAATGTTCGCTGGTATCTGATATTAAACGTGAAATCACGTTTTGAGCCCGAGCTACAAAATTCTGGCGCCGTTTCAAAGAGCTTGTTCATGGCTGATTACAAGAGCGATGACCATAAATCCGATTTAGGAAAAAATAAATCATCTGGGGTGTTCAGTCATGAGCCAGAAAGTAACCTCTGCAGTGTGGATTTAGACCAAAAAGTGCACGCACACCAGCTCTACTGCAGTTCAGCTCAACTTTAAATCTGCAGCCAACTTCATAAATAATGAATCATAACAGAATATATATTTTATGTTTAAACAACCATTTATTTTACACTCTGTGCTGATTTCTGATGCTAAATCACAGGTTCACAGGTGCTCCGATGAGCTGCAGAATCATGTTTTAGGAAGGTATAATCCTTATATATGGATAATTCGATAGCAATTTAAAACCGTGGTAATATAAAGAAAAATCATCTAATTTATTTAGCATTAAAAATGGGAAATTCCTGCAGTACATCAGCCAAATCTGTAGAAACTCAATATGTGAAAAAGGCTAAATAAAATTTTATATAATTCTAATTAAAAAGAGACTCTTGAAAGTAGGGTTGCTATAAAATGTTTAATGACTTTTACATTTTACCCACTTGAACCAAACAGCGCGTGAAAATCAAGCTGTGGTTGGAACAGGGAACTAATAAAGGGCTCTCTGTTCATTAACCATCGCTCTACCGTTAATCAATGAAGGCTATCAAAGAGAAAAATTGTTAAACGGCAGCGGCCTGTTCTCTTACCGTGACTGTGGCAGGCCCTTCTTGCTGAGATCCAGCCTCACCCTCTCACCCACATGTCTGTAGATCTCCACCAGGGAGCTCATGGCTCCATCACGGACCTGGTGACCAGCATCACACAACAACATCAGAGAGGAGTCAAACAAACAGACGTTTCTATTCAGATGTTCCACAGCAGAGTCACCATGAATAAAATGATGTAGTCAACTCATCAGACAAACCAATGGGGTGAAAAAAATTACAACTTTCACCTCCAGATGGCAGCATTTAATCAGGTACTCTATATGACATCCCTAGTTAACTCACTGCACCACCTGGTGGTACAAGGTGGTGCCGGCTGGCTTAATTTAAACTTCACCTGGTGTCTCTTCAATGTTTTGGTCATAAATTACACAAAATCTTCTAAAAAGAAAAAAAAAAAAAAAGAGAAGAGAGATGTCATGGTAGGCTTTACCTGACTAGTGGGGTCCCCCAGGAGGTTACATATATGAGGAACAATTTTATTGAGAGTCAGGCCTTGGGCTCCATATCTGTAAGACAAACAGATCAGAGTAATGAGCAGCGGGAAAAAAACGAGGAGACGGGAGGACACAGATTTTTAAAAATGAGGTCACGTGACGGCCCAATCGGCCTGCTCGAGCAGAACGAGCGAAGGAGGGAAACTCACGTGTTCAGCGTGGCGATGAGACAAAGGCACACTCCTTCTCTGGTCCGGTTGTTTTTATGCTTGAAGCCTCCCAGCATTCGGTCCCACACGTACTGCAAAAATACACAACATCATGTACACAATGAAACAGGACTTTTTCAAGCTTTTGACTACAAGGGGCCAACAGCTGTGGCTGCAAAAAAATCATCTGTTTATAGAGGAGTCTACGGGTAGATTGCCCTGACCCCAGTAAACACTTTCCCATTTATGTATATCTTAATTGTGCCTGGTTTAAATGTTAAAAGGGAGGATTATCAATGTTATGTTCATTGGCTAACGACATGTGATTGATAAGTCGTTAGTCAATGAGTGTGCTGCGTCCTCAGGTTTATAGCTGGCTCTATTGATGCAGTTCACCCAGATGATCAATTTGAAGCTTCAGAGCAGGACTTGGACAACCAGTGGTGGATGTCACCATGGTAACTTCTTTCTTTTATGCTGTCTGTGCTGGAGACCCTGGGTGTAACACCTGTCTAACAAGGTCAACCACTGGCATCCTGCCGGCCACCTGCCAGCCCCCAGCTTCCACTGCAGGAAGTCTGCGGGTGCAGACGGGTGTGGCAGCAGACTTTCACACCCAGTGAGACCCCCAAGCTCACCACAGAGTAAACAAGTGAGAACTAAAGCCGACATCCATCTGAATTTGAGCCAATGCATGACCGCCTGAACTGTCTTAGAAAAAGTGAGCGTGTTACCTGCGGATTGGCGGTTTGTTCCATGATCTTTAGCAGCAACGTTTGGTCTGTTTCTCGCACCTGATCTTTGGCATCTCCCAATCGATCAATAAGGCTGGGCAGAACTGAGTGAGAAAAGAAAATATGAGTTATTTATTGGTACTTAACGATGGTGAAATGGCTCAGTTGTACAGGACGTTTTGTTAAGTTATTCTCATGCAAAGTAAGAGCAGATGAAGTGATCAACAGCACTCAACAGAAACTTGGTGAGAAGAGGTGAGAACAGTAGTTTGAAACTCTGAAACAAAAGCTTTTGATTTTTCACACATTTAAATTCAGGGGAGGATGCACTGAGGAACTTAGGTCATGTCCACACTAATACGTTTTCGTTTGAAAACGCATCTTTTTCTTTTTCTGGAAAGCGAAGGCTTTGGCCTTCCGTCCACACTGAGACGGCGTTTTTGGTCAAGGAAAACGCAGCGTTTTGAAAACGCCCTCCAAAGCAAATACATTTGAAAATGCAGTTTTCGCGTCCCAGTGCGGACAGTGAGCCTTTTCAAAAACGATGACACATTTTAGTCATGTGATGCAGTCATGTGACCAATTAAACTAAGATAGCAGAGGGCATTATACAGCAGTTTTGTTTGCTCTCAATTTTGACAGCCCTATTAAAGATTAATATCAGTTTGTACATGCTCCAGATAGCTTTTCTTCAAATTCTTTAATTCTCACTCGCTTTTGCAACTTTGTACTTTTGTGTTACTCGACATGTTTCAAAGAGCCTGAAAAAAATAAAATACAAAATACAAAAATACAAAACATGTTTTGTTTGATATTTGTCGATGTGTTTAAATGTGGATGAAGATTCATCCTGAGGGGACTGGGGCAAATAATGAGAGACACTGAGAGTCAACTTCCCTCAATATCAATCAGTATGCAATATTAACATTAAAATACATAAAAACTAAAAACTGAAAGTAAACTTAACAATTTTTAATTAGATAATGCAAACTAACTTTAATTTATAAAGATAATGACAAATGAATAGACTGAGTTTCACTGGTCAGGGTTTTTTTTTTTTTAATTCAAGCATTTGAAATAATATAGAGAAAAGCTCTGACTTCACTTCAACTCGATCAGATTACCACTTTAAAAATCCAACATTAAATAAAACATTAAATTCGCATCAAAGATTGAAATTTGAGTCTTACCTGTTCCCACCTGGGCTCTAAATCGCTCCTGTAACCTTGTCACTAAGGCAGATAAGAGGTCCAGGCCGAGCAGCGCCACCTGGTGGAGACAAAATGAAATGCACACATTAAATACAATTTAATGTAAAAAATAAAACAAAAACAAAAATCATCACAGAAATCTTAAACATATACAATTACATGTAAATATTTCTTTTACATTTAATAGAAAAAATGAAATCAGAATGAGGAATTTATCAACAAAGAAACACTCGACACAGGCCTGGGTGTGAAAAGGGGTGGGGTTAAAACAACAAACTGTGTGCACCATGACTCAGGGTACACACTCACAACACTGACCTGTAACACAGGCCCTGCCTCTTGCAACTTTCCTTGTCATGGGGTGAGAGAACTGCTCAAGGAACGCTTAGTGAGAGCAGTCCAGCTGACACCGTAACAACAACAACACACACGCATCGCCTGGCGAATGTCCAGGGTTTGGTGCACTTTTTGGAAACCCAATTACTGTGTGCAACAATAATAAAACAACGAGTAAAACAGCAAAGCAACAATGGCTGCTGCAATCTGCTGGGAGCAAAGATCCTACTGGGGAAACTTCAATATTAATCATCTCAGGATGAAGTTTAATCTGTACAGAGAACCTTTTTTTGTCTCAGCATGTCAGTACAGATGAATTATTTTAATGAAACTGCATAAAAAGTGCTGTTTAATTTTATAAATATGAAGAAAAGGCTTGTGATCCACACATTAACCCTAGAGAATTGATTCTGTTCCTCTGGATGTTACTGTTTCACTGGGACAAATGTTTCTTCACTCATCCAGTTTACTTTTACAGTTTCAGCTGACTGCAGGTTTCCTCAACAGTATAAACAGTACATTTGCATAACCAGCACCACTGACTAACAATTAGTTTCTTGATCATTAATATTCAAATTGTAATGAACCTTCATCAGTGGCTATGCGCACCATTTACAGAAAGCTGGGAAATGGCTGCAATCCCGTCACTGTAAGATGGTGAAGTATATACTCCTCAGTTCCGAGATGGTCTTTCCCTCTTCTACCGGAATGGCCTCTATTAAATTTTTTGTATTTCCTCTATTTTAATTCAAATGTAAGTTACATTTTATAACATAATCCCAACCATGAGTGAGAGGTGTTGCAGAGGGGGCGGGGACCTCCACTAACTGAACAACCTCATTCACCCCCAACTGGACGGCAGATTTCCACACCTCCATGAGCCTGGTTTGGCTGGAGGTTTCTTCCTTTATAAAGGGAGTTTCTCCTTGCCATTGTCGTCAAACCGGTTGCTCATAAGGGGTAATTTGATTGTTGGGGTTTTGTCTGTTTTCTTGTATTATTGCAGGGTCTTTACCTTACATAATAAAGTGCTTAGAGCCAACTGCTGTTGTGATTTTTCTACCAGCAAATTTACTGGGAACATAAGAGAATTTTAACACCTTAATTTAATTGTCTTTAATTTAGGGCTGTTTTAAAGACCTGCAGGAATCCTACCCTTAAAACCACCGAACTACAAAGTGCTCTTCCCTTTATATTTTCCTCAGTGTCTCCAATGGATGCCTCTCCCCTGCTGCAGGCAGAAGTCCTGGTTATCTGCAGCTCTAATCCTCAGATCAGCCTCTTTGTTCTGCAGCTGGAGAGAATGACGGTAATTAGACTGACGACAGGCCCCACACGAAGAGAGAAACCCTGCACAGGAACGCAAAACAGGTTCACTTGAGCTCTTTCTTGGAGTCATAGCTGGAGGTAAAGAGTCTTTTCTGGAAAATTGAATTACACAAGGAACGCCAAAGAAGAACGTGGTCCAGTCCAGGACAGACAGGCTCCGCCTCTTTGCAGACAGATGGCTAACTCTCTTTCTGCTGCCACCCACATCCAGAGCCCCCAAAACATACACACACACACACACACACACACACACACACACACACACACGCATGTATATCTCTATTTCACCCCCACCCTGAAGGCTCTGGACCCAAATCTCTCAGACATCATCCCTTCCAAATTCCCAAATCCTCCAATCCGACATGCTCGGCTCTAGTTTCTTCCCCTCCTCTTATCTGCTGCATTTCAATCCTGACAGTGTGTCAGCAAATGTCCACACTGTAAGAAAAATTATCATCTGAGTGTCCCTTTGCTAACCTTAAAACACAGTTAAAAGAAACTCTGTTGGGGTGAAAAATAAGGTCACACAGTGAGAAAACTAGAAACGTAAAGTAACGTAAAGTAATCCGACCCCCTTAAAGCACAAGGCTGGGCCACTTGGTTTACTGTTTTCTAAGAAACCACCAAAGGCAACAGCAGCACAGCTGCATGGGGACAGCATAATTTTTACATGCTGACACTGTAAAATAAGATAGCTGAAACTGGCGCAGGGCATCAGCGTTGCACGTCCCCTCATGTTGAGTTTTAATATGTTTTGAGTTTGTGGATTTAATTTATTTAGTCTGACAGTAAAAGAAAAGAGCTGATTTTTCCTAATTTACAATGTAAAAGCAGCAGTTTTAAAAAAATGTGTCCATGCATCAAGGGCACAAAACTGTGGCCTACTTTTCACGCACAGTCCAGGTCACACTATTGCACAGCAGTGCGGGATAACAGGGATTTGCACAGGCTAAACTTTATTAATATCACAAAGAAAGAAACAACCACCTCACTAACAGGTAAGAAAAGAAAAGAAAAAACTAAAGACCAGCAGAAAAATTACAATAAGCAACATAAACCATGCGATAAATAACCAATAACTTTCAAACCCTAACCAAAGTAATACTCAACATAACAAAACAGCAACCCTAAACAGAATGATGTCATCACAAGCACTACAAGCTGCAGTTCCTCTAACGTCCACCAGGTGCTCCAGCAGTTCTCACAGACTTTACATTACAAATAAACATGCTTACAGCTGGATACAAAAATATGTTTTTTGTCTCTATGCCTAACCCTATGTAGCACCAGACTATTTTCCCTTCCTGAGATTGTACCACAGGTTTTTCTTCCTGTAAAAAGAATGTTTTTCTTTCCCAGAGTCGCCAAGGGTGTGGTCATACCTGGTTGTCAGGTTGTTGGGGTTTTCTCTCTTTTACCTTATAGTATAAAGCACGTTGAAGTGACTGTTGTGAGATTGAATGACAAATGAAGCTGAACTGCACTAAATTGAAATGGAATTGATCTGAAATTCAATAATGTTAAAGGCAACAAGGGCTGTGCCATAACACTTGGTCTGTCATAATAACCACATACATTTTTATGTGATAGGAAAGTGTCATATCGTAATATTGTTACCATAGCAGCGACATCCATTTACATTCCCTAGTGTGCATAACAACTGCTAGAGGTGGAAACAATAAATGTGTTTTACCACTTGAGACAAAAACGCACAGCTGAGTACAGCCGGGCTACAAAGGAGGAGATGATGATGAGCAACCCTCCGCGCGTCGCTGGAGTACTCGCTAGTGACACTCCATATGACTCCAAAGCAAATGGTGGATGGAAATTAATGATTCGGTCACAGGGAGAAAAAGCAGGACTTTAAACATCTGGTTAAAAAGCTCAATCCAGCATACAAGATCCCAGGTAGAAAATATGTTCCAGCTTTATTCTATGACAATATTGTGCAACCATTGAAAGGATTACAAGGTTCAATTAATTTAGTTATTGTTCAGTTAAAGTGTTAATCAGTTATTTTATACTTTTATAATACTGTGTCGCTATAGTGCTGCTGGCACATAGTTTCAGAAGATCATCATCATCATCTATATCGCCCACCCCTGTAGGCCACTTAAAAAAAACACAAACAAAAAAAACAACTGAGTTTCTAAAGATTTTCAGCACAGGCAAAGGTCTCTGAGCAGTAAAGCTACCCAGCTGGAGCTGAATGTCAGCTCAGTTCACACAGCTGCAAGACGAGTGGCTTCTTTCAAAATCTGAGCTCACAATGAAGGTTCAGACTTGAAGCATTTGTGGTAGTTAGTGGTCAGACCGTGACGCGTGTTTACCTCAGCTCAAATATGCACCCTGCCGTCACTGAAAGCAGCTTCAGCCTCGCTCGATATTTACTCTGTCAACATGCACGTGTTGGTTTAGCTTTCCATTCACTGAGATGCTGCTTCATGAAGCAAAGACAGCAAATCTCCCAATGTTTACATGATTTCAGGGGCAACCCGTGAGTATGAAGATTTTATTGATCACTAAGGTCTGGATACTCAATCCATGTGCTGTCTGATACATCTGGCGGGCTGGGTGGTTTTGTACATGATAAAAATGCGGAAAAAAATTATTATAGTAAATAAATCATGTGGAAATGTGGTAAGTAAAGTAAAACAAAACACGGGATGCATATTTAGGTTAGAAAACTAGCGAGGGGCAGTAAACTTTAGAAGTCCAGTCAGTTTGTTTCCTGATCATGTAAAAGAAAAAGTTCAGAAAGGACTCTTGGATCAGGCTGTGATCAAACTAACCCACTAGCATCAAGCCTCGTTCAGAGGAACACGAGTGCCTCTTCATCGTCATCCGAGTGGCTGGAAAAACCCGGCAACCCACAACTGGCCACTCTGATGTGGAGAAGCCTTTAAATTAAATAAAGAATTTCTCTCAACTCGCCATCTCATTACCAGTGGAAACACTACACACGGACACACACACACACACATGCAGCAACCTGTAAAGACAAGCAAAACTCAGACATCGATCAAACTCCTCAAAAATGAGCCGTGTCCCTCACACACGGAAAGCCGGATCATTTTCCAGCTTTGTAATTATATACAGCATACCTGTCCCTCCCTCCCAGCCTCCTGCTCTGTAATCACCACATTCTCATGTCTCTCACAGTGCCATAAATCAAGAACTTTTGTCTTTACTTGGTCTACCTTTCAGCTTAAACTCTAACTGTAGCTTACAGGTCTGTTTTCTGGATGCAGCTGCAGGTCAGAGATGAGCGCAGCTGACATTTATGGCTTCATTTTTAAGCTGCTGATGAGCATTAACATTTGAGTCCTTTTGATAGTTTGTTTATCAAAGCTGTATCTGTGCTGCAGGCTGAAGAACAACGACAGACAGTGCTGCATGCAAACACAGCGCAGAATGAGAAGTTCTGATTCCCGGCATGCAAATAGCCTCTCTGTTGAGGTTTGCAGGGAACAGGCAAGCTGCACAGGGAAGATGGTGCTCAATTTAAATCAGTCATTATTTAAAGTTTTTCAAAAACAACACCCTGTTTTCTGTATGACAGACAGGACACCTGTCCAGGGTGTACCCCACCTATCATCCTATGGTAGCTGGGATAGGCTCCAGGCATTACATAAGCGGAAGAAAATTGATGGATTGCAAAAAAACAATACAACCAAAAAAAAAAAAAAAAAAAAAAGCCCATAAAAATCAAGACATGAGAGTGAAGACTGAATCAACCAGAATTAACAAATTAAATTACATTAACTTTGAACTACTCCGTCTATATTTCTCGTAACAGCTATTGCACAAG